AAGCTTGATGAAACCTTCTCGACGTCAAATCTATTCGCAGAGTAGAAGGACATTTGCTTTACTTAATTTTCATGATAATACCACTCGATTATTACTTTCCAAACACGATTTTCCGGCCCTTAAGGGATCGTTTTCCCGGTCCCAAAGGGGAAATTCCAGTTGGCCATAAACTTTTAGAGCACTAGGACATAAATAAGGACATAAAAATACCACTGTAGCGATTGCAACGTCCGAAACACGAGTTTCCGGTTTTAAAGGGGCCATTTTTCCGGTCCCAAACAGGGAATTACAGTTGGCCATAAACTTTTCGAGCAAGGTATTCATTCCAGAATTCAAAGGTACATAAAAATACCACCAATACCACTGCGACTTCCGAAATACGATTTTCAGGCCCCCACCAAACCATTTTCTCGGCCCGCATGGGGAATTCCAGTTGTCCGTGAACTTTTCGACCACAAACCCGACTTTGGCTTTAAAATGCACCTTTAACCACGCTTCATCTCTTGATCCACCTTTTAAGCTATATAGAGGCTATTTTTGGCACCTGAGGCCAATTCCAGACATGGAGGGCCATCTCTGAACTCGTCATCGGATTAAGCGTCGAAAAATACATGGTAATACTGCAGGTAGCAATGTCCATGGTATGAATCAGAATCTGATTATGGAAAATAATTTATTTTAAAAATCCAAAGTAAAAACAGTATCGATAATAAAATGTAATGTTAGTCTTGATGTCTCGTCTCAGTCATGTCTTCATTTTTCTATCGTCGTCAAAAATAATAATTTTTTTGTATCTTCATCCATTGGTTACCAAGGTGCCAATAGGTAGGGCGCTAGTACGTACGGCCATTGCCCATGGTCATAGTTTGTATGATGTTATTATAACGTTGCTTTCTGACATTTACACTTGAGTAACCTCAAATAAAACTGACTAAGAAGACTTAAACAAAAATGACGTAAAAGTCAAAACTAAAGGTAAAACCAAAGTATATTAACCGTTGAGTAGCGACATAAAACGTCGGTGCCTTTGATCTTTGGTGGTGCAAATTTTCTTTCTCTCTCTTTTGACGTTATTGACGGAACGTCACAGTAAAACACTGCTCGAATTATGAACTGGTCTTGAATGTGATGTTTACATTGCTCGACGTAATTTGAAGTAAAACTCTTTTGTAGTTTACATTTATATTAAAGGTTTGGTCATTAGGCAGTTTTATATTTATGAGTATTTAACATGCATTTCCTGGCATAATGAAAAACCCACAAAACCCCAAAAAATCTTAACAAAAATACAATTAAAGAGCATTAATAAAACCACAACAACGAATTCCTATATCAGCTGCCGGACTAAAGTGAAAAGGGTTGTTTACATCTTTAGAAGACGTCTCGCCTCTCTATTTCGCGTCGGCGCACTAGAATTTGGTTTCCCAGCTGTCGCTACTCAACGGTTAATATACTTTGGTAAAACTATGTGGTGCTATGATGTCGCCACAAATACATATGTCCGACCGATAAGTCAGCACCTTTTTTTTGTGAGGCTGTGTAATCAATATACACATTTCTACTTAATACACTTTTAAAAAACTGAAATTCATCGAAAACATGCCTATATTATAATACCTTTATTAAGGAGAGGTTTTTTTGTTAATATTATTACTATTATTTATTGTTGCAAAGTTTATTGGCAAATAATTTTAGATTTTTAAACATAACACATTATTAAATAATTTTCAACAAATGGGCATTTATATTTGCGTTATTTCACAGGCTTGCTTGCTTTCTAATGTTTTGTATAAACTGTACTTCAACGCAGCCTAAATGTAAAATATTTCCGTACAAAATTATACTCGGGTCATACCCAAAATAACAATATGCAAATGGATATTTGATAAGAATATTCATATGTGTTTTTTAAAATTTTCTCGTGTTTCATTCAAAACACATTTCTCTTAGGGTGCAGGAGGAAATTTTATCAGTGGGATATTATACGATATGAAGTATGCTGATTAGTAATATAAACATGTTATTAGCATTCTACCGGTTGTAACTGAATTAAGATCACTTGGTTTTCTTTAGCAAGTTGTAATGAGTATCTTACCTACAATGATGTGTAGGGTGGGCAAATTTTAAAGTTTTAATAGAGAATCTCGTTAACTAAAAATATTATGAAAAATAGACCTCTTCTTTTTGAGAAAAATTATTGACGAATGCAGTTATCAATATGAAATAACTTTATAAGAATACGACAACTACTACAACTAACAAAAGTAAAACAAAACTAACAACGTTAAGTATGTAGTTAAAGTATTAAGACAAAATTGAATGTTTTATCTCAATACTCCCCCTAAAACTTCAAGTTTCATTATTTTTTATCACTCCTAACATTGAACGCAATTTTTCGAACTAAGTCTTAGAAATGGGTTTAGTTAAGAGCTATTGCACTGCTCACAAATGCAATCAAAATGTGTGAATTTCGAGTATTTGGTTTTTATTCTAGACGGCACAATAATGAATATATTTTATTAATTTTTTTTTTGCAAAAAGATAAAGGCTTGGACTATCATCCTACAGACGCTTTTGATTAAAATATAAACGGTTCAACCAGAAAAACATCTATAAGTTCAATAAAATTGTTAAAAAGAACCTACCTTTATCAGACAAATTATTATATTAAAAATACATTTTTTTTCAAATACAACGATGTAAATGTAGTTTCATCTTTTCTCAAGAGAATAAAAAAATAATAATTAAAATTGGACTTGAAATAAAGATGTAATCATATAAATACGGAAAGTTGTTTTTTTCAGAAATACCTATAAAACTGAATATTTTGACTCCCTTCTCTCGACGATTGCATTTTCATAGACGCATCGCTCGGCGTGATTCGTTCTCAATCGACTAGTGCAAAGCGATGTCCGAGGCTTGTTTGGCAAATTTCAATTTTTATCAGTGCTCACCCATCATTAACAATGCCATTAATGGTTCTTTACATTCGTTTAGGTAAAAATAATAATTATTAGGTACATTCCTAAATACCTACAGAGTTTGTTAAAAGGAAATATTGTTAATTAGTTAAGAGCTGTTCACTGTTTACCATTACAATGTGTGAATTTCGAGCAAATTCTTTTAATTCTAGAAGTCACCAAAATAAATATATTTTATTAACTTTTTTTTTAAAACGATGGAACCATCATGTAAACGTTTTTAATAAAAAGCTAAAGGACACTTCATGAATGTTTATTTAAAAAAACTGAAGAAATCTTTATCAAATTTTAATAAGAAATAACAAATCTATCAAGGGCTTGTCCAAACTTAAAATACTTTTGGAAATGATATAAGGAAGAAAAAGAGTTACACCACATTTTAAATCGATGTTAATAAATTAAAAACAAACTAGTTTTGTTTTATTTTTAAATCTTTTTTTTTTGTTTTTTGTTTTCGATTGCTTCTAAAATATTAGCTAATTCCCTTAATGGCATCCCTCTTACGTGTGTTGGATCTACTAGTTCTGGTAATATACAATTCATAAAAAAACTTTTTAATTTTTGTTCCATTTTGTTTTGCCACAAATCATTTCTCTTTAGTATGTACTCTACTTTGGGTGGATATGTATGGCCTGTCCAAACACCAAAAATACATCCTTTCCGGCCAGTAATATGTAACTGGCCTTGTATTTGGTAATACCATTGGTGTTCTGTATTTACTACATGTTCCCCAGTTTTTTTATCAGTAATCCAAAACGGAATTTCCTTTTTTTCTATTGCGTCGTCCACTTCCATTTTATACGCTGAATATGGACATTATACCTCTACCACAAGATCATCGCCAACGATTCCATCTGGTGTTGCACCTAAGAAATAATAATTTTTTATATTTTTTTTTTCTAATGTTTTTAGTGTATACAAATATTTTATGATATTTTTTAGTTTTAATATAAAATAAACGGTACCAGAGTCGGCATATTTTTAAATAAGAAAAATATTACATATTTTTTACCAACCTAAATATGGATATTCTCGGTCGATAAAAATTCTTCAATTGAAATGTTTCTTGTTCTTGTAGTTGGAATAATGCCACTTTTCATATTTTTTCATGAGAAATGGAAGCTGCTTTTGGAGATGACTCATAAACTATTCGTTTTAGTAATGGTCCACTTAAAGTAGTGCTTCTTCTAGTACATACTGCCTTAAAATGTAACGCTGTAATCATTTTCCTTCGGACTTCAAGCCATAAGCTATTATTTGCCTGGGAAAGAGTTTTTTCTTGAATTGAACTTTTTTTAGAATCAGATGATGGTAATGCTTTTAGAAAATCTTTTTTCTTCCAAATCTGGTTTACTGCTACTACTAATCTAGATTTAGCTTTTATAGCCCGTAAGCATCGTTGTCTTTCCAATTTATTTGCTACTAGCGATGAGTTACTTCCCAAAGTTTTCTTTAATTCAGAATTACCACATTTTAAATTGAATGAAACAACTGCAGCAAAACACCTACTTTGGTACGATCATCCTTTTGAATAATTAACTCTTTTACCCTCTACAAATTTGGCGACAATAGAGTGAAATTGTTCAACAATATTGCTGTCAACATCATATAACAGACTTCTACTTTGGTCTGACAAAGAATGTAATATTTGCTGAAGTCTTATAAAAAATTCGGGACTAGATTTCAAATTAGGTACAACATTGAGAGTGTCATCTGAATTTTTCTTACAAAAATATTTATCGCAATTTGAATGTTGCCCAAATATATGTAGAACAAAATTATCTATATCCTTTTTTAGCAATAAAATATTTTGAAAAAACTGTCTATATTTATGGTATTGTTTTTTCTATATGCCATTGCCTTTGTAATCGATGTTTTAAATCGAAGAATATTTTGGGACAATAACTTTCACAATTTTATTGGGAAGCGCGTATTCAGGGAAAGTGTTTTTAATTTATTTGAAAAATAAGTAAGTGATTTCTACACTCGATTTTTTCAACAGTTAAATTATCATAGGGTCTATTCTCTAAAAATTTTGCTACTATCACCATCAGAAATTAGCTTTGCATATTTAATGCCGTGTTTAAATTCCTCTAACAAAATGGTGGATTCCATTCCTGTAGAAGTTCCAGTATAGTTTTTATAGCATTTATGTTCAATTTGATTGTTGGCTAAACAAATCGAACAAATCTTATTTTTTACACCTAGATATAAAACTTTTCCAAATCGGTGGCGTATTATTGTGGCTGCACCGGAGAGGGCATTGTAGTTTGATCTATAAGACCTTTTAGACCAGCATCCGTCTGCCACAACGGTTATTAATGGAATTCCATTTTTATCGATCTGACCAATTTCCTTTGCATAATCTGCCTCTTCTTTTGCTGCTATCGCCATTTGTTTGCTTGCTGTTTGTTCCCACGCATCGCTAATGTGACATTTATTGTACTTAGTTTGCGACATAAATGGTAAATTAAGTACACTAATAGTTCTTCAGTATTCCAGAAACCTAAACCTACACTCATTGCCCCCTGAGTAGCATCAACATCTATATTTGTTTCAGTAGTTCAGGATTTTAAAATTACTGTTGCACATTTGACAATGAAATTGTAAACTAGAGTTGAGTCCATTTTTTATTTGTCCATACACAACCAAGTTGTTTAAAGAACAACCTAATTGCGGCGTATGGTTATTTAGTTCTTTTAATTGTTCTAAGAAAAACTGGGTGTCAATAATATTTCGGGTTTCTAGTTTTAACTCGGAATAGCTCTCAGTTTTTGCAAAACTTCTCTTTCTTAAAGGTTTAGGGTCCTAAAATACACATGTTCATATAACGACTCAATAACTGTTTTAACGTTAGATAAATTATCAAGGCTAAGAAATAGAAAATCGGAAATTTCAATATAACTTTTTAATCGGTTGGAAAGACAAAAAAAAACAAATTCGATCAATAACCGTAACTAGTAAACATTTCTTGTTTTTTTACAGGATGATAATAAATATTAAAAATAAATTACATCTTATAGGGTGATTTCGTAACACACTCCCACCTTTTGCAATTTGATCACTTCATATTGTAAAACAAATCTAAAATGGAAATCTTTTAGGTGGTCGTACGATACGCCCACTACGTGTTTTGATAATTTCCTGACAGTCAAAATTATCTTTTGTTACCTCCAATGGGAAAATCCTCTGTACTGGTCTCACCAACTCTCCTGTACTTGTTTATACGCGAACAAGCCTAATATGTCCATCTTTACCTGGTATTACTTCATTAATCCCTCCCAAAGGCCAATCAATACGTTTGGAATCATCAGTACCTATCAACACAACATCACCCACCTTCAAATTTTTTAACTCTGTTTTCCCACGTACAGAGTTCCTTAACTCTCCTAAATATTCTATTCTAAAGCGTTTTCGCAAATCTTCAGACAACTTTCTTCTGTACAAGATTCTTCTCACAAAACTGTTTCTATCTATACTATCACAATCAGGAACACCACTTTCTTTGATATCTCTAATAAACATAGCGGGGGTCAAGGGAGAAAGACCATCAATTCCATCAGAAATATATGTCAATGGCCTATTATTTATAACTGCCTCACAATCACATAAAACTGTCGACAACTCTTCAAAGGTGAGACACGCCTTACCTAAAACTCTTCTTAAAAGTTTAACATTCGAATAAGTCTTTCCCAAAAACCTCCCCACCAAGGCGCCGATGGAGGGTTGAATTTCCAACTAATTTTACTAAGAGACGAAAATTTATTCAGACTTTCCCAGTCCAATTTTCCAAACGCGTTTTCAGCTCCCACAAAGTTCGTACCGTTGTCGCTGTATACCACCGCAGGTCTTCCTCTCCTGGCAATAAATCTACGCAAACCCCGTAAAAATGACTCTGAGGACAATTTCTAGATGTACTGCCCTATAAAGAGCACACGTAAACAACGCTACCCATGACTTTTCTCCGCCTTTTATATAGAGAGGACCCGCTAAGTCGACTCCAACAATTTCAAAAGCCGAGGCATCTCGAACTCTTAGTTCTGGAAGAGCAGAAGGGGTGGATTGTACGTTTTTAATAGAAAATCTTTTACACTTTATACATTCGTTTATAACATTCCTAATACTTTTACGTCCTCCCAAAATCCAAAACTTTTCTCTTAACTGACATAGTAAACCTTGAACACCGACATGACAAAGTCTAATATGTTCTTCCATGATAAGTCTTCTAACAAGAATATGTTTTCCTGGCAATAAAGTTGGCTGAGTAAAGTCCAAAGTATCTACACGATTTAAAAGTTTTGTCGCAACTCTTAATAGACCATTTTCATCTTTAAAAGGCTGTTAGCAGCTGATTGATTTTTTATCAACACCTTCTGGAAAAGCTTCCATTTGAACAAACTTAAAAACAATTAATTCAGCTTCACAAAATTCATTAGCTGATAAATCCCCTCTCACACGACCTGAAGTATTTCTACAATTTGTAATAAAACGACGTATCCAACTAACCATTCGCACAACCTTAGAAAATTTAGAAAAATATCGGTAATACCTATCGACATCAGAATCTTTTAGATGAGACATACACGTTACAACAATTTTCCGTTTTTCAACTATGATTTCATCCTCATTAAAAAGAACTTCTGCAGTAGGCCACGAGTTAGGTTCTAATTTTAACCAGGATGGACCCTCCCACCATCTAGATAACAAGAGATGTTTCGATAAGCAACCCCTTGATGGCAAATCAGCTGGATTCATCTTACCAGGTATAAACTTCCACTGACATCTAGTGGTGAACTCCAAAATTTCGTTAATTCTATTACGAACAAATACCACCCATATTTCATCTCGCGTAATCCTGGCCAAAACTGTAGCTGAATCAGACCAAAAAAAAAATACTCTAATTCCATTAATTTACCAAACTCTGAAATACGTTTCGCTAGACGAGATCCTATCAATGCGGCCATCAACTCCAACCTCGAAATTGTCATCTTCTTCAACGGAGCTACTCTAGCTTTTGCTTGGACAAGTGTCACAATGACATCCGAAGACGTCTCAATTCTAAGAAAACAGACCGCAGCATATGCGCCTTGACTAGCATCACAAAATGTGTGAAGACTCATCTTACCGATTCTACTAGTCAAAGAAAAACTTCGAGGAACCCTAATTTGAAACAAAAACTTTAAATCATTCAACCACTTGAAATACTCAAATTTTAATTTCTCGCATAGTTCTTCGTCCCATTTCAAATTATACTTCCAAGCCTGTTGTAACAATAATTTGGGAAACAACGTTACTGGACAACTAAAACCTATCGGATCAAAAATCCTTTGGGCAATAGATAATACCATTCTTTTTGTTGCTTTGTCAGAATTTAATTTTTGCAGAACATCTGGAGAAATCAACAACATATCCTCTTTTTTATCCCAAAGAACACCTAAAACATTACATAAGTTTTCTGAAAAAACTTGTGTATCCGTATATTCCCAAGCTCTCAAATCAAATTTTGCATTTTCCATTATTTCTTTAGCTTCTTCAATAAAATTTTCCAACTCCATAATAGTATCTACACTAGTAATACAATTGTCCACATAAAAACTATTTAACAATTTTTCTACGACTTTTGCAGAATATCTATTTTCCTTTCGCAAAGAACTTTCTAATATTCTTTGTAAATGATATTGGATTACTGCTCCTAAATGAAACGGACTACTAGTCAAACCGAAAACTACGCGACAATGTCTATAAACAACTTTATTTCCATCATCATCTATCCATAAAAATTTTAAAAATTCCCTATCAGTATTTTTCAGACCAATTTAAAGGAATGCCTTCCTAATATCGGCGACAACAGCAAACTGACGAAGTCTGAATCTGAAAAGTATAGCAGGTATCTGTTCAATCAAATTAGCACCTGCCTCTAAACAATTGGTTAAGGAAGGAAATCCCTTTTCATGTGATGATGCATCAAACACTGGTCTGATTTTAGTAGTGAGACTGGAAGGTTTGATAACGGCTCTATATGGGAGAAAATGGCCTGTTACTTTTGATTCCTCATGAACTACTTCCTCAATAATACCTTCAGCTAGCGACTCTTTGAAAACATTTCCGTAATCATCAAAATTACCACTTAATCTAAGTTTTTTATTAGCTGAATCCAACCTACTACAAGCCAATTGATAATTATTGCCTAATATAGGATGACCACTAATCCACGGAAGTACCACAACGTACCTACCATTACCGTCTCTACTGACTGTCTCATTGAACCGCTTAAAAATTTCATGTTCCAATTCTACCTTGGACTTATATTCAGATGGATCACGAATACCTAACACATCTAACTCCCAAAGATCCTTAATTCTATTAGTAGTAAACATAGAGCTTATCATCATTACAGAAGAATTGTGTTTTGTAACTTGAAATCTTACCCATCAAAGTCCATCCCAAATATGTTTCGACAGCAGTTAGATTAGAAGAAAGTTGCAGAATTTTACCTGTCATAAATTTACCTGCTATATCAGCTCCTATCAAAATTTCAATTTCAGTATTAGCATCATTTAATACAATACCAGCATTATGAAGCTCATTCATCCAATCACCTACATTTGTTGCACGAATTTTTCCACAAATTCTCTGTTCACCTAAAGCTACAAAATTATAATGACGATTGAGATCAATACTAGTTAAACGAATTTCATATAAAGAATGATCTATTTCATCAGTAACTTGACCTTCAAAAAGACAATGTACGACCCTTTCATTTCCAATTAAATCGTACTCCATTTCCGTAGCTGTTTTTTCCAAAATATATGAACTTTCTGAACCTGTATCTATCAGAACTCTGACTCTACGACTTTTTCCATTTTTTCCCTTCAAAATTACCAGTAATGATTGTAGAAGAACACATGGTGAGTTGTTGAGACTGGCTAGAGAACTTTGCATAGGAGGATTACCACCATCTGAAACATGAGAAATATTATTTACAGGTATGTTATCTTCCTTTAGACACATTAACTTATTATGTTTACCCCCACATTTACTGCAATGTATACGTAATTTACATCTTTTCTGTACATGACCTATATTAAAACATAAGAAACATGCACCTGAAACCTTTAAAATATGCAATTTATCGTCATGTGATATTTTCTTAGCTTTCAAACAGTTATAACTTTTGTGATCATTTAAATTACAAAAAGTAGTAAGTAACCCAGTGGCAGTAGCAACATCTTCCTTCTTCAATGGTACCTTCTTCTTATCACCTTTAGGTGTTACTCCAATACCTGCCATGGCTAACGTAATCTTCTCTTCATTTTCTACTTCTCTTCTAATGAAATTCAACAAATCATCCAACTTATCTTTGGGTCTATCAGAATGCGTAGTCATCGATCTTTGCCAAATTCGTAACAATTCCTCCAATAAACATGATTCTACCATAGGATATAAGATTGAAGAATACT